GGGAGGGGGGGGGGGGGGGGGGGGGTGGAAAAAAACACAAGTCAGAGCAGGAGAGGAAATTAATGGCAGTGTTAAAAAAGAATGATGGAGGGAAATATAGAAAGCAGTCAATAGCCCATTCTGCACTGTACAGACCTGACAGGAATTTCACAGTCTCTTGATTTTTCAGCCCACTCATGTGCATTCATCAGAAACCAGTCACATCTGGCTGCCAGGATGGGGGGTTAATTTTCTCTAAATGCCTCAGCAGTTTTGTTCTAGCTGAAGCAAACTCTGTGACTGCAAAGCTGATGAGTAAAATATTTCTACTTCACCCAGTTTAACTCAAAACCGATAGCTTTAGGACATATTGAACCCTTTTGTTTAGTTTTTTTGTGTTTTTTTTTTTCTCATAGAAAGGAATCCTCTGCAGCTTTTGGTAAAGCACATCAGGTCAGCGGTACATTTAAGATGCAAGGTTAGGACTTTGATGGACATTGTGTTTTTACTTCTTCTTCTTGTAAAGCTTATCATAGGCAGGCAATGTGTGCTGCAGAGCATGACAAAACTAAAGAGAATTAACTCAGCCATCAAATGCGGCGGGAGAACAATAACAGGATATAAATTCCACACACTACTCCCTATTAATCTAGCTTGTGGTGAACATGTGACACATGGACATGCACCTGAACGCGCTTCGGCTGCGGGAAATGCAGATTTTAAAAAGTGACATTAAGTGTCATACAGAAAGTAACTACATAGCACTTCTGTGTCTTCACTGATGTATAGAAAAAAACATTTTTTTAAGCATAACAGAAAAAGGAATGTGATATATTTTGATTCTCTTAAAAATTGCAATGCTTGTCATATGTATCATACATGCCAGTATGGTTAGCGTGCGCACAACAATCACACAGTTAACAGGTATCACTCTAGAGATCACTGGTCACCATAAGTGTTTTTTTAATAATGTTTGTGGTTTACACAATTAGCGTATCCAGCTTTTAGCTGCTAGTAGTGCAGATGATGTATACTAAACAAAGGCTACTACCACTACTGCAAATGCACTAATATTATAATTAGACGGTCTTATCAGATGATGTATACTAAACAAAGGCTACTACCACTAATGCAAATGTACTAATATTATAATCTTACATTCATTAGTTAAATGAACATATTTCTCTTTAACATACAATTACTGTGTGTTCACTTCCTGGTCCTCTTGGGCATTAGTGATGCAGCCTGTGCCCAAACGTTGCATCCTGGTAAGGTTACATAACAGTGCATTGCTGGGAAATCTCATCTGTAATCTCACGAGATCTCAGGGAAAGGAATTTTCATCCCCTGAGATGATGTGCATGGTCACCTATGCAGTTGAGTTTAGACGCTTTTTTTGGGTGTGTTTTCATGTTATAAAATTGCATGTAACATGACTTGTATGGGCCCCTCAAGGCACATTAATGTGCTAAAAAATGGACAAGAACTTTTTTTCTACAACGCACCATACATGTGATCTGTGTTCACATGCCCCCTCCACCACAGATCACACCAGATCTACTATTAATGTGGTCACTGCACCAGACTTCGAAAGTTTGAGGGGGGGGGGAAACATGAACCCCACTAAAACTAGAAGCAGTTTGAAAATGAACTACAGAGAGTATCTCTGTTTAAATAATGCCTACCCTTAAATCTATTGAGAAACAAATTCTTGTTTACTGTCTCATAAATCTATTTTGTGTTAACATAAGAGATAAATAAATAGCACTACGTTTCTCAATGAACATTTTTGCTGCAAAGGCAGCACAGAGAAAAAAAAACAAAAAACATAAACCCAGTAAACAATAATGTTTGTAATGTGCAATGCAATAAAGTACATTTTAATGTGCCTTTAATATTTATTATTCTTTTAGCATAATTAACAGTTTGGATCACATTGCTGCTTTATACTTAACAGTCTAATTTTGTATTAGTTACCAAGCACGAAATAACAAGTAATGCATTGTCATCATCATGCACTGCTATTGCCACAGCTGATATGCAAATTAATGCATTCAAAGAATCTGTGGTGCTGTTACAGCACAATCTCAATGGTCTGGAACTCTCCTGACCAATCCGAATGCAGAGTTCTTCAAGCTTGATAGTCAATTAAGGCTGTGTGTTTGTCAAAGAAGTTGCAGAGACCATAATCTTAACAATTCACTACACTTTCATAAACTGTACTTTTCTACATGCTTTGGCAGTTTCTGCTGGGATCACTACATATAGTGGTATATATCTGAGTATTATTATCTCAACCTTATAATACCCATGATGCTTTTCATTTAGCATGCTTGTTGGAGCAGTCTTATATAAAAAAAAACACATTTCTAAACAAATCTGTCTAACCTACATTTCCTGTTCTGCTAGTTCCCTGTCAGCACATATACAATAAATGTAGTATCATTGATGGTCTATAGTAGAGAAGCAAAACCTGAATATGATACAAATCAAAATGCTGGCTGTGCGTGTGCACAGCTTATAATATCCAAAGAAATAATGTCAGGTAATAGGATTCATTTTTAAACAAAAAAGTAGAAACCAAACCAAACCAAAGCATCTAATCAGTTATTTGTATTGTAAATCATATTAGATTTGAACTTTGAACTATTAGATTAGAACTTTGTTTGCTGTGGCCAACATCTCTATATCTGTTGACAATTACAAAATGTAATATTTTTACTAGCAAAAACTTATAAAATTGGAAAAATGGTCAGAGCACTCTCATTGATTTTAGAGATTCAGTGGTAGACTGGCTGGGATACATGGATGCCTACCATCTATGAGCAATCCCAATTCACTTTAAACCCAAACCAAACAGGTTTACTAATCTTGGCTTTTAAGAGCCATGGGAAAGGTGTGGCTAGGTAGGGCCACACAAGGAGGAGCTACACAACAAGCCAGTAGTAGATCTATAAAAAAGGAGGAATACATAAAATCAGTGATGACATCAAGAAATAGAGACATTTCTCCCAACATTTCACCTATCAAAACAAAATGAGGGACAACTGAAGTTGAAAGAGGGTCAGAAGGATTTGGGTCCAGTTAGGAGGTATGATAGAGAGCATCTTGTCATCATTCAGCTCCATTAACCAGTGCTAAATCTTGCACCCAAGCAAAGGGAGCTGCAGGCTGATATGTCCCAAACATATTTGGATATGGACTTTAATAAGAAGCTTCAGGCAAGAAGTAATATTACTGATTGAACTGCTAGTTAACACTAGGAATGACTGGCCCTCTGCTAAAGTTAGAATGTCCACACAATTTACATTAGCATTTTACTGTATATAATATTTCTAAATTTGGATTGAATGGAATACTCAAAAGCCCATTGGGTGAAACTGTAGTCATGTGACAATTAATTATCTCTGTGAAGTATCAGGGTAGTGCATAATTTGAATGTAGTGAGACACAGATAAGCAGAAATAAGAACACAAATTAAAAAAAAATCAAGGGGTTGATTTACTAAAGGCAGATAGGCTGTTCACTTTGCAAGGGACTTTACACCTTGCATGGGATGATTTCCCTTAGCTTGGTGAATGTGGTGAAATTTCACTTTACAAAGAATACCCAAAAAATGCAAAAAGCTGTATTTTTGGTTGCACGTGATTGAGTGATGGAAGTCAACAAAGCTTCCCCTCAGGGGAAGCATCCCTGCAAACTGCAAACTTCCTTGCAAAGTGAACAGCCTACATGCCTTTAGTAAATCAAAATTACTCTACAATAGGGTCCTGTTTATAAAGCAGTGAATTTGACATTCACCAAATAGTCATAGCAGGTGAATCTTCTAGGCACATGCATTTTAAATAGTGTTTGATTTACAAACCAGTGAATGTTTGGTGAAATTCACATTCGCTGCTTTATAAATATGCCCCTAGGCATTCCTAGAACACCAGGTTCTCAGCAATCAGAAACTACTAAACAATAATGATGGCTTGGTGTCCATGGAGACAGGTATGCTTTGATTCTTGTGTACATTACCATGCAATAATGAGCTCTTGCGATTGTCAGAAGGTAAGCACTTGTTATTGCCCCCAAAGGTAGCCCTAAACTAAGGGTAGGCAACCTCAGCACTCCAGCTGTGATGAAATTATCATGCCTCTAGAGTCATATCTGTGGCTGTCAGAGTCATGCCATGCCTCATGGGATTTGTACTTTCACCACAGCTAAGGTGCCAAGTTTTACTACCCCTGCCCTAAACATTCTGTCCCCTCAAATTAAGGTACAGTAGTGCATATTTTTTGCTTCTTAGGTTAAGTATTACCATCTGCCTATTGTTAAACATCTTTTCAACACCTTCACATATATACAGATATTTGTGGGAGTTAGTTTGCCCAATTTCCCATCACAGACATACTATGGCCAGATGGTGTGTTAATATGGTCTATTAAAATGTTTCCAATGTATGGGATTCCATCTGGTGAGATATTTCGTTCACTTGAGGGTTTTTTTTATGGGGGGCGAATAATATACCTGGGTACATTTTTTGCTTGCTAATAAAATAACTTTGTGATGTCTGGGAGTATTTAGATGGAATACCCTTTAATGTCTGTTGTAGTCTAAAACATGAATCATTACTAATTTACAGTCATTGTGAATCTTAATGATACATCTGCTCAAAAGCCCATATCCACCTTTGTGGAGGTATTAAAAAAAAAATATGCTCTGCAGGCCATCTGTATAAATGACAGGCTGCTGTGCACAGTGGGAACTACAATGTAGGGCATGGAAATCTAGATTTCCCACAATGCTATGCTTCCCTCGTGCACAAGCCCAGAGAGGCAGAGCTAGTGTGAAGTGATCTTGTTATGATGGCTTAAGGGGGAAGGGGGAGGGGGAAACCTGCACAAGACAATCTGACCCCAGTGTCAGACTGAGTTTCCTGTGAAGGGAATTTTGAATTTGTAGGACTCAAGCCCACTAAAAAACTAAAAAGCCAGCAATGTGAGTCATGAAAATGTACACAGATATACATCATCACTACACCACAATAAATGCTAATCACTGGAAATGGGCTTTAAAAAAAATCTGTATTCAGTGTGGAGATCCAAAAATTAAGAACCTGTTAACTATAAATTGGATCTTATTGGACCATGCTTCACAAAATATGGTTGCTTTTTTGTCTCACAAAAATGTGATACAATCATGGCTGCCGTCGTGTTGTCTCTGCCAGCAGTGTGTGTGCAGAT